GTACCATGCTTGACCAATCCTGAAACTACTGAGCACCGATTAACGTTATGCCTTCAAGGACCCAGAAGAGTTTTCCTCCAACCAGGAGGCCAATCACAATGCGACATGTGTCAACATTAGAAGTCAATCACAACACGACACGTGTCAATGTCAGAATGAAACTAGAAACTCTCTTCTATAAATAGAGATCATTCTCTCACAATATTTCCTAATGTCATTTGTACTAAATCATTCACTTGTACTCACTAAAAGAGAGCTTGAACCTATGTACTTGTGTAAACCCTTCACAATTAATGAGAACTCCTCTACTCTGTGGACATAGCCAATCTGGGTGAACGACGTACATCTTGTGTTTGCTTCCCTATCTCTATCCATTTACATACTTATCCATACTAGTGACCGGAGTAATTTAGCGTAGGTCACAAACTTAACAATTTCTGTTGTACCAAAGTCCTCATTGATTTTGTGCATCAACAAATATTATTGGGCCGAGCGTAGGTTTATGTTCGGTCCAAAGCTTTTCCAAGAATACTATGGGTCATCCTGTGGTCATAAGCCGCCCAGTCAGGTCGGTCGAGTCCCATTGCAAGAAGGATTGACCTGGATAAGAGGAAATGGGCTGAGTCTTAGCATGATAAGGAGTCTTAATGGAATGAGGATGCCAGGATTTGAGAAGTGAAAGTGGCTAGATAAAGAGCTTGGTTCAAGGTTCTAGTGGAGGTAGGATTGGTCGAGACTTGGTTAGATTAGGATAGAGAATCATAATATGAGTATAGTCCTGGTTCAGCCATGATGAGATTGTTGGAAATGTGCTCTAAAACCAATCATATGATGATACATTACGGACATTTCACATGTTAAACTAATCTAGTTTAACTATAAAGGGCAAAGATTATTGTTTAAGCCGTCTCATATAAATGTTATATGCTTAAACGATAAGTCCAAGGAATATGTGATTGGAAGAATACGATCTAAAGAAGTTAGATTCATGAGACCATTCTTTCGTAGACACATCCTAAACGTTCCTGATCATAGGATTGCCAATTGGGCATTGACGGTCCGTTAAGATCAATACGTCCTGTGTCTTCTCTCAGGGAGAGTGACTAGTCTCGAGTCATTGGTGTGTGTGACATCAAGACAAGTACATAAGTGCTCAATAGAGAATGAGTTCCCTGAACACGATCAACGAAGAGTTCTCATATTCATGTCACATGAGAACTCATGGTTGGGATAATGCAAAGTAGTCCTTTGACCTGAGGCATCACAGTTGTCTTGTGGTTAAGTCCTTGATCTTTGATTATGTCAAAGTCACCCCATCGGAGTGTCCACGGCATCGTTGGGGTTAAGTCACTTAGCCATGGAGACAAGTGAATGCGCAACAAGGGATCTCTAACCTTCAAACTGTTTGAAGGAGAATACTCTATGATATGATTTAGAATCTCTGGCGCCAGAGTATGAATGAGATTTAGGAAGTCGTTCCAAATCACATTCAAGGTAATCATATAAGCACACGAATCACATTGGATAGTAGACATGAATAAATAAACTATCAAACCAAACAATGTGGTCAAGAGTATTGTATTAGAGAAAGACCGTATTGCATTTGTAGTCCTAAACTGAATAGGTTCTCCACCTCTTCTGATTAGCTTGGGTAACCATGATATGCTGCTAGGTGTCACTCATGGTTTGTGGAAGCCCTAAACGTGTATAATCACTAAAGGGAGAATTGAAAGTAAGTTTCAATTCACAATCGATTTGAAATGGTTTTAATCGCCCACTGCCTCGCTAAAAGGAACCTAATGGATCGTACACCGTGTAAGGTGGAGATTGAAGAAACAATGGAGATGAGTAAGAATAATTAAATGGTTTAATTATTTATGGTAAGGATTAATTAATATGTTAATTAATCAAACGAATAAGTTCGTTAAAGACCTCGGGATAGTTTTGGACCTTAAGGCCCAATGGGCTTCGAACGTCAAACCCATTAACTTAAGCTGTATGACAACTTAATGAATAATGATTCACAAAGGCCCAATTAGTCCAAAAATATCCCAATGGCCGGCCATATTAGAGATGGAGTGGGTTTTGGACTTATTTACAAGTTTGCCACTCCAATGAATTAAGGTATAAATATGACTTTATAGCCAAAATTCATTTAAGGGTTTCTTTTGGAGAAAATTGGTGAGAACTTGTCTCTCCTTTTCTCTCTAAAGAGGCCGGCCCCTTGGAGGGTGTATCTAGCCATACTAACTACTCCAAGGTCACTCATTTCTTCTCCAATCTAACCTTGGTGAAGATACTTAGAGGTTCTCAATTTTGGGAACTTGGAGAAACCTTTTCATCCATCCAAATCCATAGATTTTAGATGCAAGGAATGAAGGCCCTCTCTTTTGGTGATTAGCCTTTGCTTATGCAAAGAGGAATCTACAAAGGTATGATTTCAACTCACTTTGTTTTGAGTTGAGTTTTGGTTCACCAATCTACTAGGCTTTGAATTTCATGGGTAATGTTTTGTTTTTGAGTGCATGCAAGCATGATTCCACCTTTAATTGTTAATTGCATGCTATATGATGTTGCTCAAATGAACATGTTTTCACAAAATCTTCCTTCAGAGATTGGTTGCTATAAATAAGAAGGGGGTGCATCATTCTAAGCCCCTCAAATTCAACACACAAACTGTCATGCGCAAGCCCTCGCTCTACGCGAAACCTCTCAAACATCTTGAGATTTTTATTTTCTTTTTTGTTAACACATCTTCAGTTTGGATAAACAGCATTGTGAAGGCAGCTGGTGAACACCTTCAATTTGGATAAACAACACTTTTGCCGTAGAATTAGCCGACCGCAAAGCACATTCAATTTGGATAAACAACATTGCGTCGAGGTTGACTAGTTACTTATCCAAGTCTTGGCCAAGAAGGATTTTCGAGTTCTTGTTAGCAGAGGTCATCTCATTAGCCTTGTCGGCGAAGTGAGGTGTTACAAGTTACCGGGCTAGGCACATTGAACGTCGAGTTGTTTTATAATTGGATACTCATAAGTGGGATTTAGAGTTCGGCATTCTGATGGCTGAACTACATTTATGATTAAGAAGTACATTTGCTTTTAGTACTTGTGCCCATATAGTTTGGTGTCGATTCAGCGTGCTTATACTCTTACGAATATAATCACTGTGATCGAATCTGGCACTGTCGATTTTCGAACTTCGCCGAACTAGCAGCCTTGTCTTCAGGCTCTAGAACCTGAAGGCCGAGACGTGTTCCTTCCTCGGCTGCAATCGCAAGATTAAGAAGTTAGCAGTGCGCCCAACGCCACGCAACACATTCTACTCCCTGGCCGAGCTCGGTCGACGAGTTGGCACACCCCACACATAATTGAATGACGTAGTTAGCTCATTAGTTACTCGGCCTGTGCGCCACGTAGGCTTGGTAGTTTTTAGGGTCAACATTTTGGCACGCCCGATGGGACTCAGTTCTAAAACTACAAAGTTTATGCCCGTCGAAACATGATCGGTTAAAAAGAAAACAATCATGGGAAAGTCAATGACTGACCTACCAGTTCAGAGCCCCGGACAAAATTTGTCATATGCGCAAAATCCTCTTGTTGCTGTGACATCGGAGGCTGCAAGTGTAACACACCGAGAAAAGGAAGTTTATCTCGGTACCCAACCTCGCAACATAGAAATTCCCAACAAAACCGCATGTGTTTTGATTGAAGGGATAGTGGAGGACTGCGATGAAGATGGTGGGGATGGCTCTAGTCCCCTAAATAGGTCATTTCTTTGAAGACGACTTGATGAGCAATCTCGACAGGTTGAACAGACAGTTAACCAAAAAATGAACAATTTGCTCGAGGTGATACGAAATAATGGTGATACACACACCAGATTGCTCGAAATGTTGGTGAGTAAAGCCTTCGAAGGTGGGCTCATTGATCAGTCCTGACAACTTCCACTTAAGAGTAATCCGCTACAGGCCGAAACATGGTCTACTTGGCTCAAAGCAATTAACTTGGAAAAAAAGAAGAGGATCAAGCAACAGGACAGACGGATCCAACCAAAAAGTGGAAACAACATCTATCGATATGATTGAGGTCCAGAGGAGGATCGATTCAGCCTTGAAAAAGGGGCCAAAGTTCCCGAAATTCATCCATCCATACCCAGCTTATGTGGAAAAGTTCGAGTATGCCAAAGGCTTTAAGATCCCTGACTTCAGCCTTTTTGCTGGAGAGTCGTCCCTGTCCTCGTTAGAGCAGGTGGCCCGGTTCACTGCGCAATGTGGAGATGTGAAAAGTGACTTCTATAAACTGCGACTATTCAACTTCTCATTGACAGGCTCAGCATTCGCGTGGTACATCAACCTCCCGCCTAATTCCATCCAGAGTTGGGAGGAACTGGCTAAAAAGTTCCATGAACAATTCTATCGGCCGGGGATGGAAATGCCAATCTCATCACTGGCTAGGATGGCTCAAGCATCTGACGAATTGCCAATGGAATACTTAAAGAGGTTCAAATCGGCCAAAAACTGGTGCTGAGTACCTCTCCCTGAAGTTGAATTTGTCAAAATCACTCTGAACGGCTTGGATGTGGAATATAAAAAGAAATTCTTGGGGGCAAACTTCCAAGATATGTACGAACTGGCCCAGCACGTCGAGCAATATGATTATTTTCTCCGAGAGGAAAAAATCTCGAAGTCCCCATCCCAGGGAACGATTTACAAAAATCCCACGGTTAGCTACGCATCGGCCGAAAGTAAGGATTCCCAATACGTAAGTGTGGACGTAGTCGAGATAGTGATAGATAAACCGTACGTTTGCAAAGCATTGGCTCAAATTAATTCAAAGGATGCCAAAATCCGCTCGGCCTCTGAAGAGGCAATTAAAACATCAAAAGTTTACACTTTTGATATCACCAAGGCCGATGCAATTTTTGACCAGTTGTTGCTGTCAAAGATTATCAAACTTCGGCCAGGACACAACATTCCTAAGGCGGAAGAGTTGAAAGGAAAAACGTATTCCAAGTACCATAACTCGAATAAGCATACCACAAAGAACTGCATCGTGTTCCGTGATGCTATTCAAAGCTGGATTGATAAAGGCAAGCTAAAATCTAACCTTCCATTTGAAATAACGGCACAAGGCGAAAAAAAAAAACACAGCATAAAGGCATTGCATTTAAAGAAGAACGCGGGATGCGGAGGGCATTCGTTTCTCAGACGCCAACGTAACGGACATACCGTTGCCTCAGCCTCACAATAATCCACCAAATCTCTCTCACTCTCTTCTCTCTCTCTCTTCCCAGAAACCCCATTCCCATCTTCATCAATTCAATCACTTTCTTTACGTCGCATGTAAAAAAAAAAAAATTACAGACATCATGGTGGTGGTGGGTTTTAACTCCCATTGCCTTCTTTTGCAGCGTGCCAAGAAGGTATGCTTTTTACATTTATGATTTATATATTTATTTTAATGTGTTTTTGTAAATGCATGTATTTATTACGGGATTGCTTGTGTTATTTGTGTGATCTGTTTGGCCTTATTTTTTGGATTCAGGAAATTAGTTTGGAATTTTGGATATAATATTCCTTGGCCCTGCAAAGTCTTTCTCCATATTTTGTGTGATCAATGGGATTATCGCCTGACAATATTCATGGACTCACTCTCGCGGTTTCTTCAAGCATTTTTATTGGCACTAGTTTTATCATCAAGAAGAAAGGTCTTAAAAAAGCCGGCACTACTAGAACCAGAGCAGGTTTCATTCCCTTTTCCATTGCATCTTCATCGTTATCTAGAGTCTTGAATCCCAAATATCTTGGAAATTGGCCTACAATTTTGTGTTTATGTAACTTTTACTGAATTGTATTGTTTTCGTCGATATTTTGCTAACCGAGTTTGTGGATTTTCGGAATCAGGATTAGGAGGATATACGTACTTGTATGAACCCTTGTGGTGGGCTGGGATGATAGCAAGTAAGTTTAATCATCTCTTCTTCTAATTGCTTTGTTAGCATTGTTGCATTCTTTAAGTTATATTTTGGTTCTTTTTCTGGATTCTTGTTGGATGTGTTTCTAAATGCAGCCCTTCTTTTGTCTCTTTCCACCAATTAACTAGTTAAAAAACTACTCTCAACCAAAAATTCTTATGCTGCCTGCCAATTTTTTTGTGTGCGATGAGTTTGTTTCTCTCCTTGCAATGAAAGGCTGCATCTGCCATCGTCATTTAGTTATTTGCAATTTTTTATGTTGTTTGTTGCTGTGCTTTGCTACACAATATAGCAGTGTGGCTTGCAACCTGTAATATGTCGGCTGCATGGCCAAGGTAGAGTATCCAGACGACATATTTATAGCGGAATAAGCCAAGTCAACATTCAATCTCTGCGGTGGGTTTCCACTAAGAACGAACTAGAGTTCATATCCAAAGCGAACAATGCCCAAGCTTCTACAGTTTGCTGCTTTTCCAAGGCTGGAGAAGGGCTTATACTGCTCGGCTTTGTTTGATAAGTTCATTCAGTACCAAATTTGAATATGGATTTGGATAGTGATGAGTCTCCTAGCCTCCTTAAACGCTATCGGCATCAGCTCTTCAAATATCAAAGTCAGCCAGATCGATAGTAGGCATTCTTTTGTCAGGACACAACTTTGGAGGAGTTTTGGCCAACTGTCGATATCAAACTTCAAAAATTTGAGATTATGGGGCTTTATTAGACCACACTAAAGGCACAAATCAAAATCTTTACATGGATAGAAATAGCTGATGTCATATTGGGAAGCCTTCCTTGTAGTAGTTATATTAATTTATATGCCCAAACATTAAAATAGAGGCAGACCAAAAGAACGAGATATTTCTTCACTTTCTGTGGTTATACTCGAGAAATTCATTTGTGAGCTTTGCTCCGAGGGTCGGAAATGCAGATAGTAATGATGCTGATGGACAGAAAGTTGTGCACGAAATGGTTAAACAATTACATTCACCTTGATCCGATCAGGAAGCATTTGCTTCTTGATTCTTTCTGTAGAAAAGGTGGCTTTGGGTCAAGGGTTAGGAGTGCTTTTGATCACGCCATTTTACATGATATTCAACTGACATTGTCTGGATCTTTTACATTATATTTAGATATAACTTTTAGTCTAGGCCGAAGGGCTATATGTGGGAGAAAACGGAACAGCGACAACATTGACTTTGTTTCTCAGTGGGAAGTATGCAAATATTATTTGGAACGATGGGCTGATATTGCGGTTTCATTTACTGCCTCAAATTTTCAGTCCATAAATTACATTTTTGCTTGGAAAATCTATGTAAAATCGAAGGGATTATCCAATTGGTGTTTTCATCCAATGTTATAGATGTCCTTTTAAGAGGGAATTTTGTTTTTTTTCAAATTATTGCAAACAATGTCAGAATTGCATTTGGATTTCTCCAACTATTTGAATAAGTAGGGAAATATTCTTTAGGCTCTGAATATTAAAGGCACTAGTTTATCTTGCAAATCCAAATCAGAAATTCCTTAGCCTTTTCATTATTCCTGTTATTTTTATCAGAGAATTACTGTGGTTAATGCTCATTTACTAATTCTGAGGTTAATCTCTTTCTCAGTGATTGTTGGGGAGATTGCTAACTTTGCTGCTTATGCGTTTGCTCCAGCAATTCTCGTAACTCCCTTGGGATCTTTAAGTATTATTGTCAGGTATGAAACATCTGGACACTGCCCTCGTTGTCTATTCTTGTTAAGTCATTTGTCTACCAGTTCATGTATTAAACATATGGGCGTGTGCATGTGGATGCACCTGCTGTTGTGGTAGCAGTGCTTGCGTGTGAGTGTTTTTATAAGGACGATATTTTTATTCAGTGCAGTGCTTGCTCATTTTGTTTTGGAGGAAAAATTGCATATCTTTGGTGTGCTTGGTTGCGTTCTTTGCGTGGTGGGTTCTACAAGTATTGTATTGCATGCTCCACAAGAGACACCGATACATTCTGTTAAGCAAGTGTGGCAGCATGCTACGCAGCCAGGTATTTGCAGATTTACTTTAGCCTCTTAGTTTATGAACATCCAAGACGGAGTTAGTACAACTAATTTTGTTATTCACAGGTTTCATCATCTACACATGTATAGTATTGATTCTGGTTGCTGTCCTCATTTTCTGGTATGTGCCATGCTACGGGCATACCCACATGATCGTATATGTTGGTATTTGTTCACTCATGGGATCTCTTACGGTCTGTTTCTAAATTTTGAAGCTTGATAATGTTATTAATTTAGGTGTACCTAAAGCAATCCTTCGACTATATCTGATTCATCTGTAGGTTATGAGTGTGAAAGCAGTGGGAATAGCTCTGAAGCTGACATTTTCCGGAACAAATCAATTTAAATACTTCGAGACTTGGTTTTTTGTGTTGGTACTGGCGGTATTCTGTCTTTTTCAGGTCAACTACTTAAACAAGGTATATGGTTCCCAAGACATTACATTCATTCGGTTCTATGCCTGATTATGTTAAAGTCCTTTTTTCCTGGTCACCATTATAGTTTCCGTTATCTACAAAGTTAGAGAATCCGTGCATCAAGGAAACTGGAGCAACGACTCCATCTTCTTCCTCTCACTCTCATTCATTGTTCTGCAACTCGTTTTTCAATTTCTTGTTGATTCTGGCTTGCAGTACAAAAATCATACACCAATAGCTATAGAATCTAACAGACTCTTAAGTTGTGATATTTTCCGAATACTCTGCTCATTCAACGGAGTTTAGTTTAACTTTTCATTCTTATGACAGGAATGCACATTTTGTCACCTTTAACTCAAACCTATGCTGTATAGAAACACAGAGAGTTGGGGTTCTGAAGAATCAGTTATTTAGTGTTAGATACCGTGCACTTAACTGACTCTAAATCTTGTAGTTATCCGGCGAATGCTTAATCCATATTGTCTTATGCAATTTTTGCAGGCTCTTGACACGTTTAACACTGCCGTTATATCTCCAGTCTACTACGTTATGTTTACAACATTCACCATTCTTGCCAGTGTGATCTTGTTTAAGGTACATTTACTTGCAAAATGTTTGTAATGTTTTGAGTTGTCTCGTTCTTTTGGTATCAATGAGAATCATTTCTACGGATACTAAACCAATTTTTACCCTCCCTTCGGTTGCAGGACGGGGTGTCACAAAATGGATCCCAGATAGTGACTGAACTGTGTGGTTTCATCACTATATTATCCGGTACATTTCTCCTTCACAAAACAAAGGACATGGGAGATGACTCGCCCAAGGAACCCCTCGTCGTGCAAAGTCCGAGCCATGTGGATTCCCCCACGAATTCCCGATAGCTGCAGATAGTGAAGTTTATGCACTGGTACAGCATCATCCTTCAGGTTTTGGAACTCTATCTTAGCAAAAAGATACATTTTTATGGATGGCGAGGTCTACAGGCAACCAGGATGCAGTTTGTTGTTTGTAGGGTATGGTTGATTAAATAAGATTTACAACATATTGGGGGAATCTATTACTAATGAGGTTAAATTACAGGAAATAATAAAATTTATAAATTCTTTTGATGAAGACAATATGTTGTGTGCTTTTTCAAAATGCACTTGCATTTAAAAAAAAAAATTTAATGTACTTCAAATAAAAGTGTTTTCAGATCAAAGAGCTTCTGAGCAACCATGAGCTGGTGGCCCAGTAATAAATGACGGATTACGAGGCTTCCTTAAAACTAAAACTTGGAGGTCTCGGGTTTGAAACCCATTGCTGGTGTGGAAGCCAGACTTGTGGCTAGGAGGTGGCTGAAATGCCTATGTGAGTCTTCTAGCCCCCGAAAGGGGTGGATAACCGTGGCTTGCCACCAGTTGTCCCTTTTTTTTTCTTTTTAAAAAACAAAAGTGCTTCTGAGCAAAAATAATTTAAAGAAACATTTTCAAACGAACCTTTAATTTCATAAAAAAAAAAATCCAACCAATGCAAAAACCCAAACATGCCCTAAACCAATGATTTAAGTGTCACATCCTGGCTCGGGATGTTGTGTGGGCCCAAGCAATACAGGTTTTACGACGAGGGGTTATAACTTCTGATAAATGAAATGATTTTGAAAAGCTTTATTTTTGCCCACTCACATTTTCTATTATGCCCTAGAGTTGTCGGCCATCACTACTCGATTCGGGGTCCTAGTGGACATTTTGGGTCGGAGTGTGTCATTAAGGCCATCTCCAACCGAATGGGCTATGTTTAACCCTAGTACAGCGATGCAAGAATTATTGTTTAATGAACAGTGTTAGACCATATTTATAAACCATCTCCAACTGAAAGGGGCTATAAAATAACCCCTCAATAATTTAGGGTAAATTACATAATACCTTCTTAGGTTTGAGGTCTATTACAACCTCATATAATATCTTTAAAACATTTCACTTCCATACCTCACCTACTATTTTATTTCAATATAGTATCTCCGTTACATTTTCCATCCATTAATCCGTTAAGAGTTGACATGGCTGCCACATTTGTACCATGTGGCTGCCACCTGTGTGCCACATGACAAAAAAAATAATTTTTTAATTAAAAAAAAAACTGAATCTTCTCAACAAAAAAATAAAATAAAATAAAATTGAAAAACGCATAACCCACCCCCACCTTCCCCCGTAACCCCTCCCCTCCCATCTTCTCCTTCCCAGAATCCATCTTCCCCCCCAACTCACCTCCCTTTCCTGCACCCCACCCTCACTCTCTCCCTCGCTCTCTTCTCTATCCACAACCGATGCCCAGAAGAACTCACACCCATAAAAATGGCGCCTTCCTCCTCAGATCCCACAGAGCCGTCGACTGCCTCACCTTCATTGGCTCTCACCCTTCCCCATCTCCCATCACCCCTTAGCAACGTGGATGAAATCCACCACGACGTCATTTTAATTCTCCCAAATCCGATCGCCTACTCGTGTGCCCTCAAAATCAACGTATTGGCAGATTTTGAGAAATGCTACTCGGAGCGTGCACTCGCAACGATCGAGTTGCTATGCAGAGTCCTTGAGGGTTACGTGGCGTTTGCGGCACACGAGCTAACTGTGCTGCTACTGGTGAAGATGATTATGAAGATCTCGGACCGAGTGACGGAGTACGCGGCGGGAGAGTTGATGTCGATGTGCTTGGCGTAGGAGAAAAGTCAAAACGAGGCCATATCGGCTTGGCGGGGGTTCTGAGAGAGACGAGGGTGAGAAGAGAGAAGGGGTTGGAGATGAGGGAGGTGGTTTGGAGGCTCGGGAGGGAGGGAGAAGAGGGGTGGGGAGGGGTTACGGGGAAAGTGGGGTGGGTTTTGCATTTTTTTTTTTTTTTTGAGAAGATTCAGGTTTTTAAAAAAAAAAATTAAAAATTATTTTTTTTGCCATGTGGTACAAATGTGGCAATCACATCAACTCTTAACGGATCAATGGATGAAAAATGTAACAGAAGTACTATATTGAAATAAAATAGTAGGTGAGGTATGAAAGTGAAATGTTTTAAAGATGTTGTATGAGATTGTAATAGACCTCAAACCTGAAGGGGTATTACGTAATTTATCCAATAATTTATTATTTTAATTTTGTTCTTTAATTTTATTGGTTAATTACATTAAACTACCATATTAAAATCAGGTTTCTAGACATATTTTGAATGCCACTTCTCCCTAAATGGTTAAGCCTTCGGATTTTTTTATCTTTATATAATCTCAATAATTTTTCGGAGAGGATTTCGAGTGACACGTGTCTCTAAAGCGAGTAACTCTCCATATTCCTTATCTTTATCAAGGCTTGATTCCGTTTGTTCAACCTTCGATGAAGTTGTTTTTTCCATTTTGAAGAACAACTCTCGTGATTTATGGGGTTCAGTGGAGTGGTGCCTTCGTAGAACTCATAGTATGTAAGAGGTAAGATAGTATGGAATGGTGAAAATGATGTGAGAAACGGTGTAGAAAAGGCTTAGGTATTTATAGAAAAAAAAATTAGAATTTTTTATTTTTTTTAAATTTTCGTCCTTAGAAAAAAAATCCAACGGCTAAATGACGTCATGTGACTATTGGTTACAGCAAGATGGGCTCTCAAAATGAGCTGCCTGCCTAGCTGGATTTGCCCAGCCCAATGGCTATTAGGCTTCTCCTTGGCCCGGTGGGTCCTTTTCTCCTTTGGCCCAGCCTTTCATTGGAGATGATTTTTTTTTTCTCATTTCAGGCTATAGCATAGAGATGGCCTAAGACCATCTCCAACTGAAGAGGTTAAACATAGCCCCCACAATAATTTATTAGTTTTAAGTTCATACTTTAAATTTATTAGTTAATTTAATTAAACTACCTTTAGATGTTTTCAAATCAAGTCATTAAATTTGAATTAATTATTGCAGTTGAGGAGCTATGCCCAAAAAAAGGGCTAAGAGGGGGCTATGTTTGGTTAACCTGATGGCCTTTTGTTCAAATAATGGCCTGGTGGACTCTACAAAATTATAGCCTAGTCATCGGTTGGAGATGAGTTTTTAGGCAAATTAGGCAATTTTTTGGCTTTGTACCTTTAACCCTCTCTGTTGGAGATGGCCTAATGGTTGTTCATACGCAACACATGACTAGTCATAAGCACTGAATATATTGTGATTAAAAAACAAAATATGTTTAGATGAAGGATTTGCAAGTACAAGAATTTAGCCTAAGTTAAAAAGGTACTAAGAAATATTTCATATAGGGATAAGAAATTTATTAGATACAATTAGGGATGGCAATTTAACCCGTCAAATCCGATCCCCGCAAGTAACCAATCTGAATGGTTCGGTTTCAGGCATAAAATTTCGGGTATTTTACAGTTATGGGTAACTGTTGGGTAAATTTTTTGATTTTGGGTTCAGTTATGGTTATTGGGGTATCTGCCCCAAACCCATACCCGAAACCGAACTATTTCATCTATGAATAAAAAATATAAATATTTATTATATGAAAAAGGGGTTGTTAATAATCATGCATTATTAAATATGAAATTAATTATTTACTTTTATATCATTAATAATAGGAATTATATGCTTATAATTTTCAAGAGTGTAAATGTTTTCTTAGTAATATAAATTTTTAATATTACTTATTAGATGCATTGTATCAATTCTATTAATAATAGCAATTTATTTAATATCGATTTTTAATATTCTTCATTTAGTTAATAATATAAATAAATATATAAATATCATAATGGGGAAAACCGTTCTCTGATAAAAAATCCTTCACCCGACGGGTTCGGAAATCCCGTTCGGGGATTCTACGGGTTTGGGTTCGGAGAAAATAAACGGGTTTGGGTATGTGGATGGCACATCCGAACCCAATCTGCCCTGTTGCCATCCCTAGATACAATGCATTGAGAGACGTTTGCAAATGATTCTGCCTACTAAGCGGTTGGGTTTTCCTCTTCACTTGTAAGTGAAAGGTCTTGGGTTTAATTCTTGCCAAAGATGAATTTGAACCACATTATTGCTAGCCTATTGTGAGACTTAGTCCACTTTCTCACCCCTTATTGTAGATAATATCGTTTTATTAAAAAAAAAAAAAAAAGTTTCATAAACCCTTTGATACTAGCAAATCCTTCACCCCAAGACTACCCTAAAATGATATGATATGAGGTGTATGGTATGATAACTCCCATACACCACTTTGGCAAGATCTTCGGATAGACAAGTGAGTCTTTGTCCCACCAATGTAGTGTGAGCTTAAAGTTTTCAAGTATCTAAGTTAGATTTAAAAAATGAATGAGAATTCATGATTATGGTTCCTCGGTTTAGAAATAATTACCTTAGCCTAAGATTTTTGGATGGCCAAGTTAGATTAAGAAAATGAATGAGAATTCATAATTATGATTTCTTTGCATAGCAACAATTACCTTTTAAAGGTTGAAGGTGAAGATCTATTATACTTTTTTTGGTGAGTATGATTGGTGCTTATGGAGGTACACATGGGGCATGTGTTGTAACGACACGTTTCAAATTTTTACAAAATGGAAGGGCAATTTTGTAATTTCACTTTGGTTGGGAGAGATTTTGTAAATGGTTGCTTTTGGTCTTATTTGATGTGCCAGTGGGGCCCACCTTTGCTTTTTAGTCCTCGGCACTCTCTCTCTTTTCCCAATCTTTTTTCTTTCTGTGTAACCCTCACTCTCAAAACTCTCCCAACTTGCTCTCGTCTCTCCATCTTTGCAAATGTAGAGATACCAACCCAACCACCCTCCTCTTTGGCAAGCACCACAAACCACCACCATGTGGGTCTTCTCTTCCCCCCATTCCTTTTGGACTCCATCAATCTCTCTCACCCCTCTTAACCCTGCAACTCACCATCGCGGCAGAGCCGCCACCTCCGGCGAGTTCTTGACTTCCCAACTTGGGGTAACCCTCAGGACCATTTAAATGTTTTCATTTTAGGCGATTTAGTCCTGTCTTTGACCCTGGTAATTGGTTTTGAGGAAGATGGGTGCAGAAAGCACCCAAAGAGCGTAACCCCATTCTTCGACGATGGGCTCGCAACTTTACATGGATTTTTTGGCAACTTCTTGGCGACGGTCGGACCAAAAATTGGTATAACTCAATTCCTTTCCTTCGTAGCTTCAATATCATTTATGGCATGCTTGTGGTTGCTGTGAAATAGAGCTAGTCCGACTCCATATTGTTTCTTGGCCAATTTCCTAGATTTTGGTCTACCCACAACCTGAAATCGGGTTGACCTGACCCAAAACCAAAATCAAATCCAAAATCAGATCCGAACCCAGCCTAAAACCCAACTCTGGGCCTAAACCCAGAAACAAGGCCCAACCCTTTAACCTAGGCCTAACCTAACAAACTGAGCCCAACCCTTTAGTCAAGCCCAAACCCAATTTGGACTCGACCCAGATCGGAACCGGATCTGACCCGAATCTGACCTAACGTGGATGGAATATTCTGTGTTGACTTTTACGAAATTTGCCCAGGACCCTTCTTAGGGTAATTAGATGCCCTGATTCTAAATCCGCACTCTGTTTTCCCAAATTCAATCAGTTTAGTAGTGTTTTATTAATTGATCCCTTTATGTGCTTAGGTGCGTTTGTTAGTGGCATTTCCGTCTTCTCTAGATTGCACGGCTCTTCAATGACAGAGTATCTGTGAGTGGACCCCTTCCAAAATACATGTTTTTACTATTAGAAATGCATACATGAAAATCATGATTTTATGACTACATTTTATGAAACATTTATGATTTATCGGATTTACTGACACACCCCGATCCTAGAATCAAGGCGTGCTGGCCGTCACGTGGGCGTGACGTAACCAAAAGTGCGACGTGGAAGCAATAGATAAGAGCATTCAAATAAAAAAAACCAAATGCTAGCCGTAACAACCAAGTAACGTGCTAGAATAAGTTTAAGTGTGAAACACACATATTCAGGGCCTAAGAACTAGGTGCAGTCAAGTAGGACCATAACTAGATTACAACACTCGCAGGTGAGTCCTACATTTATGTAGTCTGTCAGTACGCCGTGGGGATCCTCGTGGGCCACCAACGCTGCTAACTAGAACCTGAAGGGGCGCAAAACAAAATAGAGTGGGTCAGTAAAACCAAAGCTTTCTAAAACAATTCAATTAAAACATTTCTAACCCCTCGCTGTAAAACCTGTATACTTTCCCAGAAAATAGTATATAATATACATATAATCTTCAAATATTTCAAATCCCAATTCTTATCAAAACTCAGAAAATATGCCATGCCATAAATGTCAATAACAGATTTAGAATGCATCAATATAACATGTGACATAATGAATCAACTGGAGACCCTGCAGTTGGTCTTGTACGGTTAATTCCATAGCTCGATATCCAAACTAACCGGAGTCACCACGGTGACCTGTACGGCACTACTCTGCACATAAGTCGGAACTACCTGAAGTAGTCTGTACGACAAGAATGGTATAATAAGACGCTCTAGTGCTTCTTTCATCAATCATCTGTGCACATAATCTAAGGTCACCTACCAGTCGGAACCACCTCTAGTGATATGTACGACTAGCATGTCGGAACCCTCTCATGGTCTATACGACATGCACCTACTTGGATCCAAGGTGAGCGTGGTGCGGTGAATATTATAAGCACTAATACCAAGGGTGCAGGTTATGAGCTCTCAACGCAATTC